AAGATAAAATCTTTAAGAAAAACAACTAATTGACTTATTGAATTTCCCACCACATAAACAAATCCAAATACTTTTTTAAAAACTAATTTTATCACTACCAAAAGTCAATAAGTCTTTTCGCTAAAAGTCCTTTTGAGGTTCGAAATGAAATTCCAAACACCATCATATATATATATATATAAAAGTTATTTACTTAATATTGTGATCAAAATATACATTCTAAAATATATATTATCTATTTACTTAATATTTATATTCATCTAAAATAAATAACTAGAGAATCAATTAAAATGAAACTTTCACACTATATATATATATATATATATATATATATATATATATATATATATATATATATATATATATATAAAAGTTCAATAAGAACCATAATTATTGGTTCTTCAAGAAACCAAATCTTTTTTTCAATTTCTAGAGTTTATTCTTTATCGAAAAAAAAATCTAAAAATATCTAAATTCATATATTAACATTGTGAATGTGAAAAATATTTTTCGGATTCACCGTGTGAATCCGGATTCACATTGTGAATTTTCAAAGATTCATTGTGAATTTGACGTAAATAAATAAATAAATAAATAAATCGAATTTGATATCATTGGAAAAAAGATAAAAAGTTATGAATTTCTGTATTTTTAGTTTTTTTTTATAAAAAATAAGTTCTAAAAGTTGAAAAAAAGATTGGTTCCTTGGTTAATTATGGTTCTCTATTGAATCTCACCTTATATATAACCGACACTAGATAAAAGGTACATATCAAATAAAAAACTCATTATAAAAGATGACATCTGGCCATCGTTTTCGACTGTGGATCTACTTGTCACGGGTTTTTTCATGTGATAAGTTTTAATAGAAAATTTAATCATCTAAAATGAAACTTCGGCACCTTATATATCTTTAGGTCTCACTTAATAACCGGCACAAGGCAAAGATACATATAAAATAAAAAACTTGTTATGAAAGATGACATTTGGCGATGTGTATTCAACCGTGGCACTACTTGTCACTATTCTTATGTAAAGCCGACGTTAATGTGTGGAGTATGATTTGCAACCGTGACTCGTTTTGAGTAAACCGTTATGGAAACAATCATGAAAATTAGATTATGACATTTGACAGTGAGAAATATAGAAACCGACACGACCATGTGTTCAAAAACCGACGCCAAAAGCCATTTTTGTACTAGTGTAAGCCAAGTGATGGTTAAATATGATGCTTAACGAAAGTTAACATCTAATTTTCTACTTTAGGACTTAAGAATTATAAAATTCATTAAATTTAACAATTTTTTTTATTATGATTACTTTTTATTATCCAGGTTAATTTTATTATCTTATTTATTTATTTAGTGTTTAATTATTTATATTTTATTAAAACTTTTAAATAATTTATGGCTAAAATCCTTGGCCCCAAATGTGGGTGTTACATGTGTCTTATATATGTGACGACTCGGGGCATTGGCCAATTTCTCAACTCATTAGCCCATATTTCACTCTTTATTAGTGAAATCCATGAATATTATGCGAAATCCCTTGGTTTTTTCCTGAATATTAAAAGAAAAAACTTAATATGATTGGCTAAAAAAATGATTTGCCCACCAACCATAGCGGTTTCCTAGATTTCAAGGTTATGTGGGAGAGAGCTTGCCTTTGACGATGATGTTAAGCAAACCCTAATGGAGTTGCGTCACAAACACTTCTCCTAGCCACACCTAAATGTAGCTCCCAAAATTTGAACTTAGGTCAATTGGTTACTAAGCCACATCTTTCACAAGCCTTACCTAGTGATTAGTGTTCATGTATATTTGTGTATTAGTAGATTAGGCTTATATGCTTGTATATGTCTTGTATAAATACTATTGTATCATTAACTTTTGAAAGTAAGGAAGATTATCCTTAATTGGTATCAAATCGTGTTACCAAATTCACCTAAAACCTCTCCTCCCCCTTTATATCCACATGTGACTCTCTCTTAACCCTAATTCTCTTTCCCAGTATTCTTCTTTTGTTTCTCGATCATGATGAACACAAGACCTCTCCCTCATAAAGTCTTCGGTATCACCAATATCAAGGCTCATATCCATCTTGTTCTTGATCTTGAGTGGACAAACAATGACTCATAGAGGGAACTTTTATCTACATACTGTAAAAGATTATGATTCCATCAATCATATTGATGCATCTTACGACGACCCCACCCCAAAACCAACTGAACCCGAGAGGAAGAAAGTGGATGTACTCGACTCTATCTTACAATAATCTTCAAATGGTTCTTAAGAAGGATACATCTGCTACAAAAGTATGTTTGACTCTCGAGAAGCTTTTTCGGGATAACAAAGATGCTCGTTCCATGTAACTCGACAGCGAGCTTCAGTCCATTATTACCATGGGTGATCTTTTGGTGAGTGTGTATTGATCTAAAATTAAAAACATTGCGAACCTTCTTGAAAACTTGGATGCTGACTCCAAAGTCTCTGACAAACACCCTGTAATCTACATGATTAATGGGTTCTACTCTCTCCTCATGTTTCGAAAATGTTGCATGTATAATAAGACATCGTACCTTGTTACCATCTTTTTTGGAAACTCGATTCATATCTTTACTAGAGGAACAAAGGTAAAATCATACTTGCATTACCTCCACCTCGACACGCTTCGATCACCCCTCCTCCCCGATGACTCTACATGTCGACACCACCGATCAGAGTCACCCAATCACCGACGGAATGATCGTCATTGACCTCCCAAAAACTACCGACAACAACCCTCATAGGTGAACAACGACCGAATAGGTCCATTGTTACATCTTTAGTAACCCAACCTTATGCATGGGTCTTCTTTTCTCCACCAGCCCAACACTGGAATACCAGGCCCACTCAACAGTGGCCCACCACCTCTCATAACCTCCTGGCCTTCTTGGCCCAGCTCCATAACGACACCAAGTCCATTCTATAGTAACATGTATGGGCTCTTTCTCTGGACAACAAACACATGGCACATTTCAACCCCCGTAGGTGTAGTTTAGACGGGAACAAGCAAAATCTCCACCACAATTTTTTTAGCATGTCTCTTGAAGATCTGACTTCAAATGAATGGACCATGGACACCAGCGCAACCAATCATGTTCATGCTAATGAAGGTATCCTCGATTTCGTTAGTAATAATCATATGATTCTCATTCAGTTTTTGTTGGAAATGGGTCCCATATATATGTAGCCAAGACAGGACACACCTCCTTTCTACTTAAAAATTCTCATTACTCTTCACTTGAATAATGTCCTCATCACACTATCTATAATAAAACCTCATATATGTGCGTAAATTTACTTGTCAAAATAAATGTTTTATTGAATTTGATAAATTTGGTTTTACTGTCATGGATTACACGACCCGCCAACCCCTAATCCGACGTGAAAGTGATGGCCCCTCTATCCGATCATTCCTTTGATACCTTAAGCCCTAGTTTCTGCAAGTTAGTCTCTTTGGCATCAAGAAATATAAGATAATAAGCATAAACCACTAACACTTGCAATAGCGAACAATGCAACCATTGTTTATTGCGATAACATCAATGTCGTATACATGTCTTCTATCTTGTTCAACACTAGCGAATCAAGCATATAGAGATTGACGTACACTTTGTGCGAGACAAAATCACGCGTGGTCAAGTCGTATCATTCACGTGCCCTCTTCCACTCAATATGCTGATATCTTCACAAAAGGGCTTCCCATGCCTTTATTTAACGGTTTTCGATCCAATTTAAACGTTTGTGTTCACCTTTCCGATCAAACTTCAGGGGATGTTAGTATACAGGTAGGCCTTATATGTATTCGATCATTTATGTATTAGTAGGTTAGCCCATGTGATTGTATACATCTTTGTATATGTCTTATGTTAACATGGGTATAAAAAGTATAAGGGATTTGTGATTAAATAATGTTTCTATTATTTTGATACAGAAAATAGTATCTTGGGTTTGAACACAGTCTTTGATTAAATATACCTAAAATCAACTAATTTGTTTATATAACTTATCGAATGTATTTTTTTTTAAAAGAACTATCATTTTTTTTAATTTGTTTGTATTTAACGGTTCTTTTTCCATCAATTGTCATGTATCAAAAAAACATTTGGAAGATTTAAACTAGAATGCAATCAAAGCAAAAAAAAAATTAGAAATACCGAGTAATAATTACCGAAAAATTAATAAGTGACTTGGAATGAATATTCTAATAAATTTAAAAATGTTAGATTCTATTAATTAAAAAAAAAATGAAAACATTTTAAGAAAAAAAGGAACATCTTTAATATTTAATTAATCTTTCTATTCTAATAAAAAAATAACTTTATTCTCCTTTTGTCATATGTTAATTTTATTAGACTTTCTAATTAATATCATGACACTTATCAATATATTGATTTTCCATTTTAAATTTTAAATTTTTTATTTTAATTATATTAAATTAATAACATTAAAATAAATATTAAAATAAAATTAATACATAATATAATTTCACGTATTTATTTAAATCAACTATTATAATTTTATATAACTAAAAAAATATATCTTAATTAATAATTTATTTAAAATAACTGATTAATAACTTTGAGTTTTTATTATGAAAATTTAATTAATTTTGTAACCATGATTCTTCGGGTTATAAACTAATAATTCGGGTTTAAACTAATAATGTATAGATAAAGCCTTCTATACAATATCATACTTCAAACTTGTCACTTGATGTTAACATCTTTAATATTCAATTAATAAACAGGGATACTCATTTGTTAAAGTAACCAATGTTTTACTTCTTTTAAAAAAACTCGTTAAAGTAAATTAAATTACAACAAAATGTGTGTTAAAATTACGAAAACACAAATAATTTTGTTGTTTGTTGGTTAAAAAGTAACATAGCTCTTAAATACTTGCTAAAAATATATAAGATGGAAATTGCTAAAAACTGATTTTATAACTTATAACATACTTCGCCATACAGAAATACAAGTAAATACCAATATTACCCCCCTAATCTCCCTCCCTATCTACATTGTAACTGAAACTACAAACCATGTAGCAAACTGATACTAAAATCAAACTCCTATTCCATAAAACCAATACCAAAAAACCAAAATAGGGGGTGTCAAAAGGTGATCTTCATGTCCATTTCAGTAATTTCACCATCTTCATGGCTTCCTAGAAGATGAACCATGATTGGTAGTGGTGGCAAGGTTCAGATCAGTGAGGGAGTTAGGGGCATTATTGACATTTTGATCCCCCATTGTTAACCTCTGCTTCAACTGCGAAAGCAACGCTTGGTTTTCTTGATTTAGAAGCTGTGCTTTCCTCCTCAACTTCTCGTTTTCTTGCATTATCAGACAGTTCTCCATGTACAGCTTTGAGTTCATCCTTTCCATTTCAAACCTACAATCAAAACCCACAAAACAAATCGATAAAATAAACATGACCCATGAAACAAATCATTCATAAAAACAAAACCAACATCAAATCTTCCAAGATTTTAGCACCAAAAATTTTAACAATCGAAAAACAGAGCAAAACAGGGGAGATCTTGTGAGAGAAATGGAGGAAAGATGGAGCTATTTTAACTAAAGAATAAAGCGATTTTGAAGATATTTAGAATATGGGTATCTCCAAACATGCACTCATGTGTTGCTTTTTAGCCTAACATACAAGGAAAGAATAAAAAGAAAATTATTGTTTTTGGTGTGGAAGATGAATCACCTTTGAATCTTCTGAAACGACGAGTGAAAGTTGCTTATGAATGAAGGTGGAAGTGAAGTGGCGAAATGAAGGGTAACGAAGGGTGATGTGTATATATAGTGGAGGTGGGGTGGGGTGGGGGGGGGGGGTACTGGAAAACTAATGATAATGGAGATGAAGAAGAGGGAGAGAAGGAAGAAGAAGGCGGCTTGTATGGGAAAGGATTTAATGTGCTTCTTCTTCGACAATGATTATGATTATGAGATTTTTGGAAGAGAAGGGCTTTTGATTACGTCATGTGAATGATGGGGTCTCAAGTAGGGGTACTTTCGGTATTATACTTTTTCAAAAAACCAATTATATACGTTCAGAAAATCTTTGTAAGAGATGGGTTTCCTTTTTCTTTTCATCATATATTTTTTTGTCCAAGTAAAAGGGTTTTCTTGGTGTATTCTTACTAGAAATTTGTATTAAAAATTAAAAAGTAAATATAACGAAACCAAAATTTGTGTTTATTTTAATGTAAAAATGTAAGCATTTATTGTTTTAAATTTTTAGTTTAAAAGATAAATAAGAGATTATTTTAGTATAACTAGAATGAAAATTTGTTATTGAAAAATATTAAAAGAGAAAAACCTAATCTTATTTTATCTTTGGTTTTATAGTATCACATGATCCTTGTTTTTATATATTATAATTATTAAAATTAAATTTATATGATTTGGGTATTAAAGTGGGTGAAGGTAAAATGGAGATACGCAATGATGGGTTTCGATTATTTGCAACGACGGAGCTCCATCATCACAACCCTCTTTTACCTTCATCATCCATTTCTCTTTTTTGGGTTAATTTTTTTTTCCAAATTTTATATTCCTTTTTTTTTTTTTCAATAAATTTTGAAATAAAAAATGGTACAGTTTGTGAAGTTTACGGGTCACGTGAGTCGTATAACACGTTTCGAAGGTTCATGTCGAAACAATCAATTAACTATTGGTCTTGGTAAAGATTATGTTATAAGAAAATCTTGTAAAAGTTTATTTAATATTAGAAGTGATAATTTTAACTTATTTAATTATATGAAGTTGTCTTTTTTCTTTTTGAACGAACAAATATATATTATAATAAATAAAATCGACTAATAGCAAGATGCTAGAGACATTAGAACAATATATTAAGGAATCTAATTAGATTCGCCAATGTTAACATGTCTAAAATCCTTGAGCTAGGAGTGAACTTCTCCTCACACCATTCCGTATTATGTAACCAAATAAATCCAGCAAACTTAACATGAGGCAAGAATGTGATATGTTGATTTTTTTATCTAAGCCTCATATTTTGCAACAGATGACATATTTACCCTTCTTTTACTTAATTCCGATTTGGAAAGTATTTTATTCAAAGTCGCCCTCCAACAGAAGAAATTCACCTTTATATGCACCCAATTGTTCACGAAATTGTCAGAAAAGATAGTTAAGATTATGTAACATATAATGTATAAGTTATTTAGGGTTAATCTTATAAAAGACTAATTCCTTTCATGATTTATGTTTTAAATTTGAAAATTTTACCAATTAAATCTCCAACTTTTCCGGTTTGTTTTCTACTTTGTTGTTTTATTCGGTTTCAAGGTCTTCAACCGAGAATAAAATTGACATGGGCCAAAAAAGTTAATGATTAATTTACGTGGAAACTTCCCTAATTATAACACAAGACCACACTTCGGGTTTTCTTTGATCGTTGCAAGAAGTAAGCATCCACAAAGGAAAAGGACTACATTAAGGTTAGTATATCATCTGTTCATTTTAATTTATGATGCAATGACTCATTTGTGGGATTAATCTGTAGTTTAGATTGTTTGTAGGAGCAATTTGAAGGTGGAAAATATTCAAGTCGTCACATAAGGAATGTGAAGATATACACCTAGCTTGTGTACTAGACTCGGATGATGAGATTTTATCAATTTAGCCAATGGATTATGAAAAGGAGGATATTGTAAATACAAGCATCAAATCTTCTAAGGATAACTTTGTAAATGAATTCTGTAAAGACCATTGTGAATTTATGATCAAATAGAAAAAGAAAATCTTACAGTGAGTAGGGAACATAGTAAACATGAAAACAAAAAAAAATCCTAATGATAATGAGATAAACATAGGTGTTGTAGTAATTGTCCATGATCCCACCATTGAGTGGAATCTCATGGAACCCCATAGTAGGCGACAAACATGAGTTTACATATATAACAGTTAAGTAATGTTCTAATTAATTTTGCTTGTGGATGGTTACTCATGTGGTTTGAGAAACTTGAAATTTCAAAGTTTGTATAGTAAAAACGCAAATTCTCATTCAATATATATATATATATATATATATATATATATATATATATATATATATATATATATATATATATATATATATATATATATAAATTAAAATTACAATAGAATCCCTGTAACTTAGAAAAGGATAATGTTTAGATATATACATCAAATATATTTAATAATAGCCTCCCTCAATTGGAGTTAGACGTGGCCGGATGCTCAAATTGGATCTGAAGTCAAGAAACAATTGAAGTGGGAGACCCTTGGTGAAGATATATGTGTATTGGAAAGCGAAAGGAACGTGCATGATGCATATTTGACCAATAGCTACATTTTCCCGAACAAAATGAATGTCCATTTAAATATGTTTTGTTTGTTGATGATGGTCTTGATTACCCGAAAGATAGACAATGGAAACATCATATCATATCATACTATACTATAAAGGAAGCATTTTTTCTTTTCACCACATCAATTTGAAACGCCCAACTCTTCATATTTCCATATAATTTACTTAATTATTAACTTAAATATGTTGTTAGTTATAAACATTATCATAAATGAAAGACTTCTTGAATTATCAATATGATATACTAAATTTGTTGACTTCAATATAGTGTTAAATACATAACTTAAATTAATATATTAAATAAACTTAAATATATAGTGTAAAAATTAAAACCTAAACTAAAATATTAAATAATGTTTTAAAAATTCAACGTATATTTTTTAAAATAGTTAAAAGGAAAATATTAAATACTACAAAGGAAACATTTTTCCTTTCACCACATCAATTTGAAACTCCCAACTCTTCATATTTCTATATAATTTACTTAATTTATTAACTTAATTATGTTGTTAGTTATAAACATTATCATAAATGAAAAACTTCTTGAATTATCAATATGATATACTAAATTTGTTGACTTTGATATAGTGTTAAATACATAACTTAAATTAATATCTATATCTATATTCTATATCATACATACTTATAAAGCTAAATTTTTTCTTGAATCTCATGCATTTGAAAACCCATTTTTTAATTTCCTCAAACCACATTCATTTGAAACCCTCTTTTTTAACTAATGCAACTCAAAAGTTTTCCTAATTATGATTTAACACTCAAAAGTTTTATAACTTATATTATGTTTAATTAGCATTTAGTGAAAAGTTTATTATAAAAAGGCCAATCTTTTGTGTCTTTTGTGTTATATAAAATCTTACATGTAAGAAAGATTTGAAGATATTGTGATTCAAAAGTTTTCATATAGTTGAAGCATTCACGATCCAAATATGATGATTTGAAGAAATGGGTTATGTCGCATCGATGGTAATTGTAATATGATTTTTTTCTTTCAACCAAAACAAATGAAACTTTTCTATTCTTTCTTTATATCCAATTTCTCATTTAATCTTTATATGTGGTTTGTGTGTATTACTCAATCTTGAATGTGACTCTCCAAACATCAATGTTTTGCTTGAAATATCTTTCTGATTCTTCTTTTTCAAGAAAAATATTTTGATGCAGGTTAGTGAAGAATTGTCATCAAGTTTCTATGGTTGAATGATGTTAAATGAAGAAAGAAGATTCATAAAATGGATATAGGTTTTTTTGTTTGAGCAAAGTTGACGAATGTTAGTTTTTTCTTTTGATTTAAACGTATGTTTATGTAACATCTTTATTTATATATTCAACCACTCAATGCTCTTATTTATTTGATTGTAGTTTTTCTATTTTGATTATGTTTATTTTCTATTATTTTTTAGTTGGGTTATCCTACACAACATATTTAAAAGATAACATAATTTTGAACATTTGATATGTAATTATGATAGACTTATCAGGATATGTTCTTCATATGAAAGTAATTTATCCATATTACTACGACAAGAATTACATATGATATTTACGAAAATATATATATTATATGTGATTTGTTTAACATGTATATGCACCTATGTATGTTATAAATTTATAATTAAATATATTTATGTTTAATAATTGAAGGGATTAAAATGATGCTTCAAAACCAATTATTTAGATGAATATAATAATAATAATAATAATAATAATAATAATAATAATAAATATACATTTCCAAGTACGCATTCATTTGAAACTCACACTACAACTCAAGGGTTTTCTAATTTATGTATATTTATTAGTTACAACTCAAGAGTTTTTAACTTATGATTATTAATTAGTAATCACTAATAACTTTTTGTTTTCCTTTCTTTTATAAGGTTGTAAAGTTTGTTCATTAAAAACATTAATGTATTTGAAGAGATTTGTGATTTAAATATGAAGAGTTAATATAAATGTTATAATAGATGTTTTTGTGTCTTTATGTTATTAAAAGTTATAGTGTTTATTTTTCATATTTTTTATTAGTCGTTGTATATATATCTTTTTTAATACAAATGTTATAATAGATGTTTTTCTATTTTTATGTTACTAAAAGTTGCAGTTCATATTTTTGTTCATACTTTTTGTTACCCGTTATATTATCATTCATTGGATATATAATTCACATAATTTTAAACGGTTTATAAAATTATCAAATAATTGTATATATCACAATGACTTAAATATTAAACTATAATGTTTAATAAAACTAATATGTTAACTATATGTTTGTTTTACTACTAACATTTTGTTTCAAAGTAGAAATATTAAATAATAATTTGGTAAAAGTTATTATTTTAACTATATAATTCTATTCTCGCGCAACGCGCGGGGATTCGCCTAGTTGTCACAATAAACCAAAGTCGCTTGCTTTAATGGTGTGTAAAGTTCAAGAAAAAGATTTCTTAGCCAACATGTTCAGCAACCACATTGGCTACACCACAGTATTTAGCTTCTAATCGAGAAATAGTTGTTTGTCATTTAGAGAACCAAGATATGAGGTTGTCTCCTAGGAATATGCAATAACCCGATGTTGAGAGAAGGATGTCCGGACAGCCTCCCCAGTCAGCATCCGTGTTAGAGATAAGTTGTGATGATCAACACTGATAAAGATGAAGGCCAAGGTCAAAAGTACCCTTCAAATATCGTAAAACGAGTTTAAGTGCATTAAAATGGGAATCTCGTGGGGCATGAATGAATAAACATATTTGTTGAATGGAATAAGCAATGTGGGGTCTTGTAAACATGACATATTGAAGAGCTCCAGTTAAGTTGCGATAAAGAGTAGGGTCAGTGAGAAGAGAACCATCAGTGACACTGAGTTTGGACTTAGTGTCTATGGGAGTAGCGACGAGTTTAGAATTGGACATATTAGCCCGATATAAAGTTTCTTCCATGTACTTTTGTTGAGTTAGGAACATACTGTTGGTTGTTCTATTAATAGAGATGCCCAAAAAATAAGAAAAGGGACAAAGATCAGACATCTTAAATTCGGTTTTAAGAGCAACAATAATCTTGTCTTTGAGAGCAACAGAAAAAGTTGTGAGGACGATAACATCTACATAGAGAAGTATGTAGGTATACTCCTGTTGGGGACA